CATACAATAGATCCCGTTCTGGGCAAGTAGCTGTGGTTTCTATTGCCAGTGGAATTAAGACAGTATGCACTAGGGCTTGGCAAATATTTTTTTTTTTTAAATAGGCTGGAGTGTCTGTGCGATGGTTTTGGCAAAATCTTAATCACTGCACCTTTACCTTTGCAAGGATGAGGACAAATTTTGGGAAGCCCCTAGTGCGCTGTGTATAACACAACCTGTATAAATACAGGATAAAATTTTGAGCATTAGCATTTTCTGATCTTAAAACTTTTATTCTCAGATTGAGTATGGTACAATTTTTCGGTCTCTAGTCTGTGTGCTGTGATGCAGTCTTCCCACCCTACATGCAGCGTGCTGTCAGTTACATTTCAGGACTACTTAATTCTCTGACCGTTGCTGAAGCATATAATAGAGTAATTAAGATGTGTATTCCCCTATGGCCATCCAAAGGTGATTATTGATAAGATTCTTATGTTTGGATCTTGTTTCAACCTGGTCTTCCAAAATTATTCTCATGTATGAAACTTGGATAGCTAAGGATACTCTTTATCTGAGTTCAAACAGGGGTTTGGACTAATTTACTTAGTTAAGTTTTATTTGTTTTGGTAAAATTCCAGTTTATTAAATTAAGATGGACTTTCTTCAAACTAATTTAACAATGTTTTGTACTGTCATTAAATGTGAGAATGTTCTGATAATGGTTTGAGGAAGTAATGGTTTCTGTGATTTTTTATAACCCATCATACATAAAACTAAAATGGATCTGAAGACTTTTCAGAGAACTTGTTCTTAAAGTCTTTCATTGTCTTTGTTCTGTTAGAAGCCACCAGGAATTTTTGGTTAGTGAAGGAAAAGTAGGATCAATTCTCTGATAGCTTTTTTTGTTTTGGAGTGTGATGAGAAGAGAGGGGAAAAAGTGCAATTTCTGGAATGGTTTGGAATGTTTCAGATAGTAAAGGCTTCAGAAAACGACTTGCTTTGCTGTGATTGTCAATAATTGTCTTCATCTGTAGAGTTTCAAGAGCAATCTTCCTGTTCTCTGGGAAAGGAAAATCAGGATTGAGGCAGAGTACAGACTCCTAGTTTTTCTTTTTGGTTAAATTCCATTGGTTTTAATCCTGATGTGAGGAACATGTTATGATTTCTTGGGTTTGTTTTTGAAAAGAAGAAAATGCAGCTGTAATCCATAGAATCATAGAATGGTTTGGGTTGGAAGGGACCTTAAAGATCATCCAGTTCTAACCCCCCTGCCATGGGCAGGGACACCTTCCAGGTTGCTCCAAGCCTCATCCAGCCTGGCCTTGGACACTTCCAGGGAGGGAGCATCCACAGCTTCTCTGGGCAACCTGTGCCAGTGCCTCACCACCCTCTCCAGGAAGAATTTCTTCCTGACCTCCAATCTAACCCTCCCCACTTTCAATTTAAACCCATTCCCCCTTGTCCTGTCACTACAGGCCCTTGTAAAAAGCCCCCCCCAGCTTCCTTGTAGCCCCTTCAGGTCCTGGAAGGTGCTATAAGGTCTCCCCGGAGCCTTCTCTTCTCCAGGCTGAACAAGCCCAACTCTCTCAGCCTGTCCCCATAGCAGAGGGGCTCCAGCCCTCGGAACATCTCCGTGGCCTCCTCTGGACTCGCTCCCACAGGTCCATGTCCTTGTGCTGGGGGCTCCAGAGCTGAATGCAGGACTCCAGGTGGGGTCTCATGAGAGAGGAGACTGATACCTCTTGCCATTACAGTCCTGAAACTGTCTGTTGGTACAGGATGACCCTTGCCACCCTGTGTCAAGGAATTTCAGTGCACAATATGTAGAAGGAGAAATTAATTACCAAGAGCACCTGTACTGACATCCTACTCTTTGACTTCATGCAACAGAAGCCATAGGCTATATTCTGCTTGAACCTTACCTGAAATGATTCAAGAAGCTATTAAAGGGAGACTGTTTCTAGAATATCCGCTTGACATTATGTCAGCGGCCACAGATTTATGGAATATCAACCCACCAAGATAATTGGATAATTGAGAAAGTGGTGTTTCAGCAGTGATAAGTAGTTGCCCAGAATATGAATTAGTCAAAATGTACTGAAGGAAGTATATAACTGTAAGAATTAGAGATGCCTGTCATCAAATAGTTTAGTTTTATTTGCAAAAGCTTTGGATGGATATCATGTATCTCTGCTCTATTTACCCCATCAAGAAGCCTTAAATGGTAGTTGGAATTAGATAAAGAAGAAAACTCCCTAATTTTTTATCTCCATGTTTTCTGTTTTCTTTTTATCGGTCTTCTTTTTTTTTTTTGCAATCTTGGAAAGACATTATTTTATGATATTCTTACATTAATTTTTAATTTTGATAGTCAACTGAGGCCAAGCAGATGTAGGATATATGCAATGAACATATAAGTGTCCTAGTCAACAACTGCATGTTAAGTTAAAATTAAAGGAAATTGTTAAGGTTAAGACAATTTTAAAACTGAAATAAAAGTTATTTCTGACAATACGAGACATGATTTCAATATTAATAAATAATGAAAGAATTAATGTTAAGGGCAAGATACAGTTGTCTAGCCATGCCAATTCTTTATGATCCTTTTCTTTTCATGCTTCTGAAGAGTAAACTTTGTTTCGTAGAAGTGACAGTACTAGCAATTATGATCAGTCTTGAGCATAAAAATTTTCTCATGAGAATAAGAAAATTCTATACTTTAAAACTAATTAGATCTCAGCATTCTGTTTTGATTGTAAGCATTTCTTAAAACCATAAGGATCTGAGAATCTTTAGATTCCTCTGGAAAGGGGAAATCTTATTCTTATAATAAGGAGTTATTGCTATTTCAGGTTATTACGTGACACAGCTCATTTTCTTCTAAGTGACTTGAAAAGATTTGGGCCTTGGCATAAATAATTTTTCTGTCTTTTAAAGTCTTCTCTGACTGGCTGATACACTTCCTCTCTTCATAGAAAATAAAGATTTTTGTCTGGAGATTGTTTTTATGGCACAACATGGAAGCTATCTCTGAAGTATTGTGCAACGTAAGGAGATTTTTCTCTCTGTCTCCTTACTCATCCAACTCGTGGAGTAGTCAAATACAGGATCAGTTCTGTGGTACAGTTTAACTCTATTATTAGTCTGTATGATAGAAAAGGAAGGCTTTTATTTCTGAACGTGAAATTTAATGTATTTTCTAAAGAAAATAATAAAAGAGTTAAAATATTTAACAAACTCTGTGTCATCCAATGAATAATAATTATTTCCCTGAAAACTGAAAGTTCTTTATACCATTTAACAGGAGTTTAACAGTCGCGAGTTAAGTTTACGTAGTAAAGTGCATAAAGGAACTCAACCCTTGGCGTGAGCAAGCAGCTGTCTGAGAAACGGCGTTGCAACTTCATGACCATTCTGTTACTGTTTTCCTTAAGATCAGAATTTGATGATTTTTTTTTTTGTGCAAGTTATGGAATATTTTTTTGTCACAATAGTTTAGGCAAAAAAAAACCCTTACGCCGAAGTAGAGACTTAATTTTTTCCTAGTGATATGTGGCAATTCGAATTTATACACAGTAGGATTTAGCACGGAAAGTTTCACATGGAGCAGTTATACTTCTTTAAGTGACAACCTTTTGTGATTGCCTGATTTTATGTCAATAAAAGAACTAAATTTACTTGGAAAGATATTGGCTTTTATAGAAGTAAGTTTATGGCTACCTAAATCCCCTGCAAACACCAGTAAATATATTCTTATGCTTTGATTAAAGTATATATTCAGAATCACTTTTTTACCTTTTAAATCTTTCTGAACCTGTGCTGAAAACTACTACCATACTTACTATAGCATTACTGAAAAACACTGATTTTGGCATAAGCTAATCAGTGGAAAAAATGGGAAAGGTAGTTCAAAAATGGTCAGGATTTTTTTTTCTATATCCTTTTTTTCCCCTTAAAGTATTCAAAATTGTATTTAACATGTTATGTTCTACAAAGTAAATATGTCTTTAAAATAAAGATTGTTTGAAAGCTGAGATTTTTTTTTCTTTGTCTGCGTTTGGGCCAAAGGTCTGTTTTCTATAAAACTTATGTCTGTTTTAACTTACACAGTAATTTCAACTACTTCACTATATTGATTACTAGTTAAAAATAGTTTGCTACATTGTGTATAAATAGCCCAATGAATATTTGGAAAGTGACATAAATATTTTATAATATGAGGGGAAAAAGACTTATGTAGCATGAGTTAAGTAAATCCTGTGTTAAAATACGAGGAAGCATGGTTTAAGGAAGTCTGGGTGTAATGCTTCAAATGGTAAGTTGGTTTTGCACATATTTTAATTTTTTTTTTTTAATTTTTATTTTTGTGTTTGGATGCAGGAGATTCTGCAGGGTTCAGTCAAGTGCATGTGAATACACATGTGTGTGCACATGTGCTCACACACAGAGTTCCTGATTTTATCATCTTTTTGTTGTTGTCTTGGTACTTTGACTTTCCACACTTCGACTTCCACTGCTTCACATTTGAGTGTGAACTTCCTGGGGGGGCGTTCTTTTATGTTTTAAATTACTCAGAATTTCCATCTGCTTTTATTTGACTTGTGGTTGTGAAGATCATGCTTGGCCCATGGGATCTTACACTGTGCCGAGAGGATGTGGAATTTTGTCAGCCAGGGAAATATGTCTGGCTTTTTTTTTTTTTCTTTCTTCAGCAGCTTTCATATGCTTCTCTCCGTGTGTGGTCCAACTAAACTGAGTATATTTAACAGAAATACTCTCCCTCTCTATCTTCTGTGTGCTGCTCTCTGTTAAGCAGACTATGTATAAGAAATCTGAGATCCAAAAACTTTTAGTCCTGACTGAAAACAAGGTAGTGTTACATAGAAAAGTACTTTACTAGTTGCACCTTTCAGATTACTAACATCGTTCCACATTCTGGTGGTACACAAGGAGATCTGTGGTTACCAGTAAACATCCTGGTTACATCTTTGTTGAATGTTCTGTACTTTTTTGTTTTGCAGGCACTGCTACAATCTACAGTTCAAAAGCAAGAAGCAGCTATTCAAACCCAGTATATGCTAGCACTTGAAAAACATTCTCACAAATGTGAAGAACTTCTTAATTCTCAGGTATGGATGTGTACGTACAAAAATTTGTGATTTCCTTTTAGTTTCAACTCTTTTCTGTTTGAAAAAATATTAACATATGATCGCCAAAGAAATTAATCGATCTTTCACCTTCTGCCCTTGGCATAAGAGTAAACACAAGTATTATAAAATGCAAAATAAATCCTTGGATCAGAGGAGCTTTATGGCATGTAAAACTGCTTAGAACAGGTTCAAGAAGAGTGTAGCACTGAGAAAAAGCCTCATCGCGACTTAACAATTACTCCTTTAATGGCTGCCATTTTCTGTAGTCATGGAGAAAACATGCTATTACTTTTAATTTATGTAGTTAAGTGCAGGATTTGTTTGTATGGGATTGACACAAATTTTTGATCCAGATTTTGTTTGATGCTTCTTAGATGGTAGACATAAATATCTGTTGTCCAAACGTATTCTTATTTCATAGAAATTTTACAAAAAACCCCATAAAAAACTAGCTGTGGAGAATTACATAATATTCAGACACACATATGTATGTACATAAGTAGGCCTATACTGGCATATTTAACACGACTTGAGTAAAAGCACGCTGCTTAGCAAGTGTTTGGGGTCACATCAATTACTGATGAGTATCGGAACAGCGTAAACCTGGTTTATTATTGAAAATATCTTAGTTTGGCTTAAGCACAGCTCTTGAATCAAAATAATAATGAACTTCAGTATATAAGTTTAAAAAAAAACCCTAAACTGATTTGCTAATAGCATCCTAAAAGTTGATTATATTGCAATTAACGGTATTAACAGTTATTTTAAGTTCTGCTAGCAACAATTTTCCCAGAAATACAAAAGATAATTGTTTGTTTATTTAATTTTTTTGAGTATATTAGACCTAAATATATCAAAGTCCACTTGAAGTATTCCACCATTTCCAACAGTATTTTGTGACCATTCCACTGTTCTGACCATATCAATTAACATTTAGTGCAACCGTGTTAAATATATAAACATCTGTATAAGCAGAGTGAAGGAAAGATGTAAAGGTTTGGAGAAACCGATTCCATCATGAATGAGTTTATTGCACAAAACTACAGTTATTTAGTGCTTACGATAAAGCTCTTCCTAAAAATCAAATAAAAAGAATTGTAAGAAAATGTTTTGTGTTTCTAAAATGAACATATAAGTTGAGTGACTTGATATCACTTTCTGAATGTTAAAAAGGAGTGAATCTTATGAGGTCTGGAAGATTTTATGAGTGTGTCCTCACATATTGAGCAAAAATATCACTCTCATTGGCTGGTATGTTTGCATTGCAAACCAGAAGGTGGGGACAGAAATGTGAAAACATGTTTAAGATGTTCAGATTTACAGGGGGAGAAGCCAACAGTGTAAGGGACCTTACATTCTTGGTTGTAGGACAGTAACACAGTGCCCAGTTCACATTATGTCTACAGTTAATGCAGTTTAAGAACCCCTTTGGATCCCAGAAAAGGTTTACCTTTTATTCAGAAAATTCCAAGTCATTTCTCATGCAACTCAGTCAAGGTTTACCACATATAACTGTAATACAAAACTGGTATTTTGGAGCCTAATCAAGTGTGAGGGCTTATGACAGAACTCTGCCAGGTTTAATAAAATAGGATTCATACTGGCAAATTTTATTCACTCCTAAACCTTTGTGAGAAGACAGCTGAGAAATGTGTAGTATGTTTTTATTCTTTTTGAATACATATATCCCTAAAAGTATGCTTTAGTGTTTGTTTTAACATTTGGGTTTGTTCAAATGATTTTGACCTGTGCTAACATTTAAGATTGCTGATATGATTACTAATGATTGTACACCAAGTTGATTAATATTCTGTGTTATGAGATTGTACGTGCATATCCACCTCAACACGGAGAGTTGTGGGTATCTGTATCACTGTGAAGAATTCTTTTTGTGCACCAGTGATCACACAATGCAGGTATCCTCTGTACATAAGCATACCTTCTTTTTTTTTGTTCCTTTGTGATATTCTTGCCTTACAAACAGTATTTTGCTTTCAAACTTTTAAGCCCACATAAAACTTTGACAATCCACATAATATTTTGTCCTTATTTGACATTCCTTCTAAATTTTCTGCTGTTTTATTTCCAGTCCCACAAAATAAAGATTATCTCATAACTCCTTCCTCATGCTTTCTCCAAATCCCATTTTCCTCCTAAATTCCCATGCCCTTCTCTCCCAAAAATGTCTCTTTGAGAAGGAGGAGAGGCTGTTTTTCTCTGTTTGTCTTTAACCTGTCTTTAGAGTTTAAGTTTCTTGTTTTGAAGCTGTATTTTATCAGCGTGTTTCACATGGAGATGGAGATGCACGTTAAAAGCCTGTCTAGAGAGGTACCATACTGCTGATAAGGTCAGTGTACAAGGCTGTGTCTTCCAGGGTAGGGGAAGATATGAAAGGCCTTGTTCTATAGTTTTGTCTCCAGTTTCCTGCTGGACAAATTTCTGCAGCTTGTCTTTGATCGTTATGTGTGAAGTTTTGCAGCATACTGGCTAGCTATCGCTAACATCTGCAGCAGCTGCAGGAGGGAACTCTCAGCCCATCAACACAAATTCCCTTCAGTTCTATATCTTGTTTCAGGTCTGGCAGCTGTCTTTTCACTGTACTCTTCTACTAGATCTAACTCCATAGATCTGCAATTTAGGACATAGCTAAAATTGCAGAAACTTCTCCAAATAAAATTCTGTGCCGTTTGCTCTTCTGTCCCTTCTGATGGATGCCTTCCCCACCCATCCTAAAGTAAGAATATCCTGGCCTATTTTCTGGTTTAGTTTCATCTCCTTGAAGTCTCTGTGTGTGCATTACATAGTATTCTCTCTAACTTCAAGTGAAAGAAGTCTTAGATTTTGTATTTTAAAACTTTCAAAGCCTCCCGGGATAGTTTGCACAGGTTTTACAGATCTCCTTGAGTAGCTTTTTTCAATATACTCTCTGCCATACTAAGCTGAACTGCTCTCAGTGAAGTGTTGCTTGGGATTAACCGTTATCACTATCCGTCGCTTTTCAAACAGGCACTGGAGAGATGAGCTGGCAGGTATTACAACTCAGTTACTACCCACAGATGCCAGGTATTTCTACATCTACCTTCTTCTTAGTCCATTAATGTCACTTGTCTTGAATATCCAGCCTCAAATGTCCTCTGGATCTGCAGCTTATGATCCCCTTCTCCCATTCCTGGAATGTGTTGAAAGAACCATCTGTTGGGTTTGTGAGGTGGATTTTTGGTAGGTGGGGGAAGGGCTACAGGGGTGACTCCTGTGAGAAACTGCTGGAAGCTTCCCCTGCTCCAAGTCAGACACATCTCTGGCCATGGCCAAGCCAGTCAGTGTGTCTGCAAATTAACATAGTTAAGAGGGAAAAACACAAAAAGAGAAGCAGAAGCAGAAACAGCATGGAGAGAGGAGTGGGATGTGGGAGAGACAACCGGGCAGACACCCAGGTCAGTGTGGAAAGGCAAGAGGAGGTGCCTGGAGCAGAAGTTCCCTGTCAACCCGTGGGGAGAGGGCAGGCTGTGCCCTGCAGCCAGGGAGGTTCACGGGGGGCAGAGACCCCCCTCTGCAGCCCAGGGAGGATCCCACGCTGGAGCAGGCAGCTGTGCCCAAAGAAGCCACTGACTCTGTGGGAAGCTGGTGCTGGAGCACGGTGCTCCTGAAGGATGGCACCCCACAGGAGGGACCCACACCGGAGCAGTTGGTGAAGAACTGCAGCCCCTGGGAAGGGCTCACGTGGGAGAAGTTGGAGGAGGACTGTCTCCCGTGGGAGGGACCCCACGCTGGAGCAGGGGCAGGGTGTGAGGATCCTCCCCTGAAGAGGAAGGACCGGCAGAGTCAGCATGTGATGGACTGACCACAACCCCCATTCCCTGTCCCCTGTGCCGCTGCTGGGGAGGAGGGAGAGAAATGGGGGGCAAAGCTGAGCCCAGGAAGAAGGCAGGGGTGTCAGGAAGATGTTTTCAAGATCCGTTTTGCTTTGTCTCTCATTTATCCTACTCTGATTTGATTGGTAATTAATTAATTGATTTTTCTCCCCCAAGTTGAGTCTGTTTTGCCTGTGACCATAACTGGTGAGTGATCCCCCCTGTCCTTGCCTCCACCCACCAGCAGCCATTCCTTATATTTTCTCCTCCCTGTCCCACTGGGGAAAGGAGTGAGCCAAGTGGCCTCATGGTCTTTTGTTGCCTGCTAGGCCTAAACCATGACAGTTAGTGGGAACTGGTGCATGACACCAGTTTCTTAGAGGAATTGATGATCACTGTAATGGGTGCTTTCAGGGGAACAATCTCTAAGGCTGTTGTTTTTTCAAGGAAATACACTCTCATATCAACATTTCAGAAAAGCAAGCCAGGCATTCTTGTGGCATATTTGTGGCCACCAAGGTCATAGTGTTCTTCATCAGTGAACAGGACAATGAGAACTCTTCTGTGTGCTAGGAATCAGTCACATCATATAGTGAATATTTACAAAAGCAGTACCTGTCAGTTGTACCTTTCTAGCATTTGAGGATATCAGAGAAAATGTCATTGGAAAACACATGTTAGTTTATTAAAAGTTGGAAAATGACAAATCTCATCCTTTTTCTGAGACACCAATATATTTGATGTTGCCTCCTGAAAATGCACACCTTAGATCTTGTGGTTCAACTCCTGTGCTGTAGGAAAATACATACTGAAAAATATCAACAGATTTTTGAATAGAAATTCTTATTACTCAGAAAATGAAGGCACATATAACAGCAAGGTAATAGAAGTGCTTCAATATAGTCAGGTAGTGGTCAGTGCTAGAAGTGAGATGCCACATGGGTTAGAACAATATGTGTCTTGTAAAGTATGAATATTAAAAACAAAATTCCAAACAAAACCCAAAACCAGATATCTGACAGTAAAATATATCTCTTTTTGAAATTGCTGACGAATGTAGATCATCGTTCTACCTTCTTTAGTAAGTGCTAGCAATCTTTTATGACAAATGAGGTAAGGGGAGGGTCT